AAAATATCAGATAAACTATAAAGATTTAATGAAAAAAAACGTTTGAAATGCATTGAGGAGGTTTTAGGGATTACACAAAGAGAATTTGAGATTTTTATTTTAACAGGAAAATTACCTTGCACACGGACTAGGGAAAACCAATACTCAATATATTCATGGACAAATCTTTATTTTATTATATTAAAAGTACTTCACTAAGAAATATGAGTTTTTGTATGCTGAAGACTTGTAATGTTAACTGAAAGACTGCCAAATTTCGTGAAGATATACCCACTATAAGTATTAAATCTATAAAGACTTTAACTGAATACAAAAAGGTTATGTGGTTGGTCAAATTGACTGAGCCCATATTGAGAATGTTAATAGGGACTTTACAGGTAATTCTCAAGCTTAATGTACTGAATAAATTACTATAATTCAATAATACAGTAATTTACTGTACAAATGCAACCATGTCAGTTTGTTTACCTCATTTTATTTCAGCCCTTATTTGCCCAAAAATTTGACACTACAATATTCATAACTAATCATAACAGTTCCTATGCTAGTAGATTACACCATTCAAATAAAGATGCAAATTCTTTCTTTGTAGTGTTTTACAGTTATGCCATCTCTTCTGAAGTATCAAAATTCCTGTTAGAGCACACTGTACAGATCCATGACATTTGGCCACATTAGAAATAGAAAAGTCGTGAATTTTGTGCAGAGATGATTTCTATTTTTTGCTTCACCATTCTAACAAATATGTGTGCTTGTTGACTTCAACAGTATTTTCTACCTACCTGAATATTTTTTTAAATTTTGTATTGTCATGTTCAAGATAATGTTGAATTGTTCAGTGCACAGAATATTGTTCATGGTGAAGCACTGTTACTGTTTTACTTAAAATATTCTAAGCAAAACAGACAAGTTGTACAGATGGTTGAGTATGTTATGCTATAAAGATTTTGAATATGCAACTTAGTAAGTTGCATAAAAACCACAATTGGTATAAAACTGTGGTGTAACGGCATGTACCAGAACAAAATTTTAACATTGTTTGGGGTTTCATTTTTAACAAGATGTCACAAAAAATTTAATGCTTTTGAGAAGGTTATGTAACCTCTCTTTACAATGCAAAATATTCATACACTCAAATCATAAAGATGTGTTCAGACCAAGGGTTTAGAGTTTTCAAGATAGGGTATCACCTAAACTTAACTGAATTGGAAAAAAAAAAAGAAATGTGGTTCAACCTTGGACACAAAGACCATCCAGAAAGAGACACGCAACAAACCATACTCCAGCCATGGTAACGCATCTTGTAACAGGTAAGAATCAACAAGCACGAGGGTCAATGGAAAAAGTGATTCATCTACCCCTAGGCAACATCATTGTAACATAATCAAGAAGGATTTACATTTGGAAAATGACACAAATCACGTGTTCAAAAAGCTGCTTTCACAATATCAGTGAAAGAGGATCAACAGTATAAAACTGTATGAAGGGTGGCTACCAGGGATAATGGCAGTATGTTGTAACACTTAATGAAGCATATATATATATACCATGATAACTGTAACAAGTTTCATACCATTTTCTACCAATCATTGAGTAAAAAATATTAATAAAAATGATATGTGGCATGTAATGAAAATTTTTTTATAATGACCACTTCATAATGCTCCAGGGGTGAGTTAGGGATCAGGAGAGTGGATACAAAGGTCAAAGTGAACTCTGCTTATTATCAGAGTAATTTACTGAACTCTTTGTATCACAAAGAAATACCAGCTTTGTGGAAATGAGACCCTCAGTGTATAGATTAACCAAGATAAGGCTTCCAGTCAGACAAATGCTGTATACCTCAAGCAGCTAGGGAATGAAATATGTATTCATGCTGTTCCATATGAAGACGTACAGTTGAACTTGGTGCTGGAAAACTGTTGTCCTAAAAGTATTATGGAAAATATGCTGGAAGGAGTGGTGTACCTTGGACATTACAGTCTTTTGCCATGGAAACTACATTGCAGGACTATTTTCAAGGCCCTTGGTTATCAGATAGAGTATGGCCAGATGTGGAGACATGTACTCAAATGATATGGTGAGACACAAAAATAAGTTTAATCTAATGCACTCAACCATCTGTAAACCCCTTTTT